TTTTTTAACATGGAGTTTTGATATTCTTTGTCAGTTATATTGAATATACAGGTTTTTTCCTGCTTTTTCATTTGCCATTCTGATGGACATATTAATGTGTCTGAAAACTAGGATTCTGAATGATAGTGTAATATACTGTCTACTAAAGGCATCACAGTTAACTATTTAATTAATTAATTTATTTATTTATTTGTTTATTTTTTTTTTGAGAGTCTCGCTTCATTGCCGAAGCTGGAGTGCAGTGGCACAGTCTCGGCTCATTGCAGCCTCTGCCTCCGGGGTTCAGGTGATTCTCCTACCTCAGCCTCCTAATTAGCTGGGATTATGGGAGTGCGCCACTGCCTCCCAAAATACTGAGATTGCAGGTGTGAGCCGCTGCGCCCAGGCCTTTTTGCTGTTTTAAATGGATATTTTTATATGTAGGATTTTTTGGTATTTAGGATTATTTTAATGGCATGATTTCCAGCTGTAGGAGTATCAAGTCAGTGGCTAGGAATCCTTTTTTAAAACCCTTTACATATGTGTGTACGTATTTCTAAATCGCTTCCCAGAAAGAACATATTAGTTTCTGCTTCCTTTCAGTAATGAGTGGCCTAAATTTTTAATTGCACTCACTGGTAGAAAATAATGCATACTTATTTCATGTTTTTTTGTTTTTTTTTTTTTTTTTTTAACAATAGTTGGGGTTGAATGTTTTTCCCCCTATGTTTATGAGCTTATCTTCCTCCTCTCCACATTCTGTTCATGCCTTTTGCTCATTTATTTTACTGTCATGATTGGCCTGCACATAACAGCTTATTTGATGCCTCAGCGAGTCTCTGCATGGGCACACCAGAGCTGGGGTGGCGACATGAAGGAACCGCCAGACACACCTGGCTCTGCGTTTTCTCCTTCATCATCCTCCGGCTGTGCCCATTTCCCCCTGATTGCAAAATGCTGATAAATCTCCAGGCCTCGGGAACAGTGTTGCAGGTGGAAAGGGGTGAAGGACTCTGCTGGCGACATCTGTCCCTGTTCATCAGGACAGGGAAGAGCTTTCTCAGAGGCCCCCTCAGGAGAACTCTGGCCAGTATTGTCGGTAACTGTAGCTGGCAAATCAGAGGCTGAATGGCATTTGAGTCTGCTACAGTATCTGGTGGTTCTTCGTGTTTATCCCACTTTTGAAAAGGCATCAGACTTGTCATTTTTGTGATGCTATTTCCTGGCCTGTTTACTGTTTTGGTAAGCTTTAATTGTCATGTGGTTATAGGTTTGCTATCATTTCCTTTGTGATTTTTTTTAACCACTTTTAACAAAGGAAACCTCTCACCTGTGGCTGTTGCAGGCTGATTCCCTGGGAAGCATGATCTGAGAGGGAGATTTGTGTGTTTTGTGATGGGTGACCGTGGCCTGTATGATACTAGTTTTTTTTGTAGTCCAGGTGGTTTTTGCAGTTCAGTATATACTCTGTTGAAAAAAGGGAATATTCTTGGTTCTATTAGTCCTGATTAGGTCAAGTTTATTGTGTAACTGAAATAGTCTTTACCGTTGCCTATTTTCTCTCTGAGTAGTTGTCTAAGATAGATGTGTCCTTATCATAGTGGACTGAATTTCTTTTTTCTTTTTTTTTTTTGAGATGGAGTTTTACTCTTGTTACCCAGGCTGGAGTGCAATGGTGCGATCTCGGCTCACCGCAACCTCCGCCTCCTGGGTTCAGGCAATTCTCCTGCCTCAACCTCCTGAGTATCTGGGATTACAGGCATATGCCACCATGCCCAGCTAATGTTTTGTATTTTTATTAGAGACGGGGTTTCACCATGTTGACCAGGATGGTCTCGATCTCTTGACCTCGTGATCCACCCGCCTCGGCCTCCCAAAGTGCTGGGAGTGGACTGAATTTCTTCTTCAATCAGGTTTTGTTTTACAGACCTTGAAACAACATTAAAATGATTGAAAGATTCCTGGCTGCTTTATATCCTAGGAGTGTTTTTGTTTTTTGTTTTTGAGATAGTCCCCTTCTGTTGCCCAGGATGGTGTGTAGTGGCGCTGTCTCAGCTCACTGCAACCTCTGCCTCTCAGGTTCAGGCGATTCTCCTGCCTCAGCCTTTTGAGCAGCTGGGACTACAGTCATGCACGTGCCACCATGCCCAGCTAATTTTTCTATTTTTAATAGAGATGGAATTTCACCATGTTGACCAGGCTGGCCTCGGACTCCTGACCTCAAGGAATCCGCCTGCCTTGGCCTCCCAAAATGCTGGGATTACAGGCATGAGCCACTGTGCCCAGTTTGTGTTTTAAAAAAAAATGTAAAATATCTTCATTTGTCTCAATACTTTCTACCTTGAGATTGATTTTATGTGCTACTGATAGTAACATTACATCTTTTTTTTTTTTTTTCTGTTGTGACGGAGTTTTGCTCTTGTTGCCCAGGCTGGAGTGCAATGGTGTGATCTTGGCTCACTGCAACCTCCAGCTCCTGGGTTCAAGCAATGCTCCTGTCTCAGCCTCCCGAATAAACTGTGATTACAGGAGCGTGCCACTATGCCTGGCTAATTTTTTGTATTTTTGGTAAAGATGGGGTTTCATCATGTTGGTCAGGCTGGTCTCAAACTCCTGACCTCAGGTGATCCACCTGCCTCAGCCTCCCAAGGGCTGGGATTACAGGCATGAGCTACCACCTGGCCTAATATTATATCTTTCAGTTGTTTGCATAGCACACATTTTAGTCCTTTTATTTGGAACCTTACCATGTAATTTGGTTATATGTGTGCCTTTGTACCTAACATTTTGCTGAATAATTTCTCCCTGAGCTTATCTCTTTTTTTTCTTTTGTGACCAACTCATTGATACTTGCATTACTTGGGCTTGATTCTGTTATCTTATTTGATGTTTTCTGTACTTGAATTTTTTTTTCTGTTGGATTAAGATTTTCTTCTTTGGTTTTAATGTCTTCTATTTCTGTTTGGCACTTTAATATTTTAATGCACATTCTTTGTATTTCTTGTTCAGAGTCTAGACTTTATTCTTCTCTCCTCCACCACCTGATTCCCCTGGAGTTTATTTTCCTTTTGTAATTGAACAACATTGCTCTCTTAGTGCGTAAAACATTGCAGTTCTCAGTCTGTCCCTTCAATTTAGGCATGCTTACTCATATAGTTGTACTGCCCCCAGCAGCTGCAGGATTGCCCCCATAGCTGCTCACTTGTGCTCATTCTGTTAGGGACCTTCTCAGGGTCTGGTCCAATAAGAGCTCCCTACCTTTGAGTGTGCCTGTATATTTTTGTTTTTGTTTCATCATCTTGTCTGTATTCTCATTGGATTAGGTTAGGCCTACTTTAGAATAAGAAATGAGACTAGGACATCATCTGCTATTTATTTTTTTTCTGTTTAAGATGATGTTAACATTTAGATACTGCTCAAGCTAGTTTCAGCTGTGACATTTTTCCTCCCCCTCTGAGCTGTTTTGGGAACAGACAAAGCTATCAGTCACTACTTCAAAAGAAGTGTTTATCCCTTTTAATTACTTCCCCTGGGCAGGGCACTTAGCTTTCTTTAAGAGTAATGGAAAAACGTGCCGGCATCCTTTCTGGAGAGAGGTTTCTCAGACTGCAATTTTCTCTCCTCTCCTTCTGGAAAAACAGTTTTGCACCCATCTGCACATTTACTTCAATATTCCTGAGACATTTTGTCACAAATTAAACTTGGAAAGCTTGAGACATTTCCAACTTACTTTCAGAGAAAGATGCATAGATAGGTCCTTAAAAGCAGTAGGTATAAATTACTACGATTTGTGGAAGTTCCGCTGGAGATGATTAAAGCAGAGGCCTTGGCAAAACCAGAGGGAAGACGGGTCAGCTGAGATGAATTGTGAAGGCTGAGCAGGATAGGCAGTGAGTGTGAGGGCATTCTGGGTAGTGGGTTTAGCATATTCAAGGACTGAATGTAGCATCAAGTAGGGAGAGGGTAGAAAGGTAGGTGATGACCGATTTAAACACACCTCTTCTGTTGCATTTTGCCATTAGTTGTATGTAAGCTTTAGGTTGGAAATATTTCTTTTAATACATGAAAGACCTTTTCTATTAGTGTTGCTTCACAAGCTTTTAAAAGGAATGGTGTTGAATGCTGAGATTTACTTTTTTGACTTCTCATGAGTTGGTCTGTTGTTGATTTCATGAAACTTGTAGAGAATTGGTATTTTGCTTGTGCCTTATAGGCCAAATTTTGATGTCATGGTTATATCTGCTTTGGAATCGTTTTATAGGTGTTATCTGTTGCATAAATACCTGGGAGAATTCCTCTGAGCCTGTAGTTCTTCTGGAATTTTGAAATTAAAAGTTGTATTTTAAATACATTTCTCTCCTTAGACCTCTATGAGTGTTAAATCGCCATTTAATATGATGTCAAGAAATAATTCGGAAGCACCTCCTTGCAAGATGACAGAGCCATTTAATTTTGAGAAAAATGGAAACAAACTTCCACCACATGAGTCTTTAAGAAGTCCTGGAGCACTTCCTAACCGTCCTAATTTCAGGCTGAAAAGTTCAGAGAATGGAAATAAAAAGAACAATTTTTTGCTGTGTGAGCAAACCAAACAATATTTGGCTAGTCAGGAAGACAATTCAGCTTCTTCAAACCCTAGCAGCATCAATGGAGAAGTGGTTGGATCCCAAGGAGACAGGAAAAAATTGCCAGCAGGTGAGTGAAAAACCACAGGCTTCCTAATTCTTGATTCTCATGGTTTCTGTGACTTACCAGAAGTATATATAACCACACCCAGTGGGCTATTAACAGGCACATGACTACCTTACAGTATTTACATTTAATTATTAATTTAGAAGGAACCAGATACCAAGTAGCTACCTTTTGACTTCATTAATCTCAGAAAAAAATTCCTGGGGAAAGAATGAGCTTTTTTCCCCACAGAGAACTGTATTGGGAATGTAGAAAGGAAACACTGGCTTTTTTATGGGTGTTCTAAAGACTGGTTCTTAAAAATAATGTGCAAACTTCATGCATATATCACAAAGATATAGCTAAGATTTTAACTGGTTTCATGTGATTTATCTTACCATTCTTTTAGTCCCAGTTCTAAAAACCTGCTTTCTAAGGAGGCTAGGACCTGGTAGAATTTAGCCTCTGAAAGTATGTGAGATGTGATGTTTTAACATGGTGATATAATTCTCAGAATGTGCCCTTGGGCCTCTGGGCTTCCCCAGGAGGTCAAAACTGTTTTCCTTACATTATTTGCCTTTTCTGCTATGCCAGCTTTACACTGATGGTGCAAAAGCAAATTATTAGCTCAGCTTAAGGCACGAGCGCCAACCTGGGCTAGGGCTCATTGAGTTTTTCATTGTCATGCACTTGCAGTTAAAAGGAAAACTAAAAATGCCAATTTCAGTTAAAAATGCCCTTGATGGGGCAGTTAAAGGTATTCTGTTAAAGCTTGACCATTGTGTACAGTATTTTCAGTATTTTGTGTAATGAAATGTGAATTATTCCTAACTTCTGCCCCCTGAAGTAGGAAAAGCATGCGTGCAATTGAATTGTGAGCTGAAGAGAAACTTTTTTTCTTGGAGCATACTTTTTATTTGAAAAGATGACAACTGGTTATTCAGACTTAACCTGGCAAGCATTTTCTCAAATATTAACAAAGTGAGCCTGTTATTTCAAGGAAAACCACTGATATTATTTTGTTAAAGACAAAATTCACACTTTCAAGCAAATTAGGATTTTAGAAAAGTTGTGTTTGCCACTTTGATCTTAAGAACTTCCCAGGACTTTTCCTGTGAGATGCATGGTGATAACACATGAATATTACTATTTTTATATTTTTGAAGACAGTGTCTGTGACCTAAGCTGAAGTGCAATGGCACAATCATAGCTCACTGCTGCCTCAAACCCCTGGGTGTAAACAATCCTCATGCCTCAGCCTCCCAAAACCCTGGGATTACGGGAATGAGCCACCACACCTGGCTGTAACACAAGAATTTTTGCTATTTCATAATGAAACGTGTTAACATTTGGCAACACTGCATAACTCAGTGAACCTGCCTTTTCCAGGTGGTATTGCTGTCATGCATGGACAAAAATCCATTCAAAGTGCAGGATAAATCAGTGAATTCTAATTTAACAGTATGAAAAGTTCCTTGATGTAGTTTTAGAGTTCACATTGCTTCTAACCCTATACCACTTGTTTTGGTGTACTATTAAAGGCAAATATCCATGATTAACAGAGAAGGACATTAAGTATTCCTGTTCCTTGCAAATACTTACCTCTGGGAGGCCAGACTTGTTTCAGATACTTGAACCAGAAGCAACATTTCACTGAGTGAAAAAAGCTATATGTGAATACAGCTGTCTTCTGTGAAGCCAATCATTAATGATACACAAAAATGTGTAATTCTTCTGTATTTTGTTTTGAAAAATATAGTTTTTAAAAATTGTCAGCATGTAATGCATTTAATTTTAAATGGATAGTTTAAATTTAGTTTTAATTTCTAATACAGTAAATACTGATTGAAATAAGCCATGTAAACAGAAGCTCTGTAGGGTCCTCAATTTTTAAGAGTGCAGAGGGGTTCTGAATCCAGAAAACCTGAGAATTACTGCCTTAGTGAATGGAGAAAAGTTCATCATGAGAGGAGTACTAGTCAAGAAAATTTCAGACAAGCTCTTATTTTATTCATATTTTAATTTTTTTTTTTTTTCAAAACAGTCTTTGTTGCCTGGGCTGGAGTGCAGTGGCGATAGCTCACTGCAACCTCTGCTTCCCAGGTTCAAGTGATTTTCCTACCTCAGCCTCCTGAGTAGCTGGGATTACAAGCGTGCACCGCCATGCCCAGCTAATTTTTGTATTTTTACTAGAGATGGCGTCTCACCATGTTGGCCAGGCTGGTCTTAAACTTCTTACCTCAAGTGATCCACGTCTTGGCCTCCCAAAGTGCTGGGATTACAGGCGTGAACCACTGTGCCTAGCTAAGTCCTTATCTTCTGTTGGGACTAGTAGGATGTCGCTTATGCTCTGGTTTAGCTATAAGGTCATTATGGCATAGCCCTGTTACTTGAATATCACCTAATTATACTATTTTTCATTTTTAGCAATAAAAAGCATTATTTGGCTTTTATTTGAGATTGTGTCTTTTCTCCCTAGGAAACGCAGAGTCATCACCAACTGTTGAAAATAATTCACCAAAGGAAGTGAATACTGTAAGTTATTTTATTGTATGTGTTCTCATTTGGGTAAAAGTTTCTAAACATGTTCTGGTGTCTATTTAATAAAGAAGTGTTCAATCTGTAGCTGTCATTCAAAGTCAAATATTTTTCTTTAATGTGCATTTTTATAAAAGAAACTTTCTTAGGTCATTGTAGATTCATATGCAGTTGTGAAAATAATGGAGATCCTGTGTAGTCTTTCCCCTATTTCCCCCATGGTAACATGCTGCAGAGCTCTAGTACAGTATCACAACTGGGTTATTTATTGATATTGACACATGAAGGTATGTAACATTTCCATCGCGGCAAGTGTCCCTTACATATCTTTTTGCTTACGTTCTGGTGTAGCCAATCCACTTTTCCTTCTGCCCCTGCCCTCCTCTAATCCGTAGCAACCACTGATATTCATATTTCCACAATTTTGTCACTTCAAGAATATTAAAGGCTACATATAAACAGTATGTAACCTTTTGGGATGGGCTTTTGTCATTTCACATAATTATCTGGAAATTGATCTAGGTGGTTGTTTGCATCAGTAGTTTGATCCTTTTTTATTGCTGAGTAGTATTCCATGGTATAGATAACTTGTTTAACTATTTACCTGTTGAAAGACACCTGGGTGGTTTTCAGTTTTTGGCTATTAAAACTAAAACTCCTATGTACAGAATTTTATGTGAACATGTTTTTAATGCTCCAGGATAAATGTCCAGAGTAGTTTCTGGTTTGAAGAGTAGTCCCATGCTTTGGAAAATATTTGGTAGTTTCTTATAAAACAGACTGACTGTACCATTTTACATTCTCACGAAGGATGCCTGAGTGCTTCAGTTTCTCCGCATCCTCATCAGCATTTGGTGTTGTCGGGATTTTTATTCTACCCGTTTTCATCATAGATGTGTAGTACTATCTCATTGTGGTTTAACTTGCATTTCCCTAATGACTGATGATGTTAAACATCTTTTCATGTGCTTATTTGCCATCTGTACATCATCTTTGGTGAAATGTTTTCATGACTTTTGTCTGTTTTCCAACTTTTTTTTTTTACTGTTGAGTTTTAAAGTTCTTTGTATAGTTCAGATATTAGTGCTTTGTCAAGTATGTGATTTGCAAATATTTTCTCCTAATCTGTAGCTTGTCTTTTCATCTTCATGAAGTCAGTTTTTCCTTAATGGTGTTTTTGTTTTTGGTGCTTTTGGTGTCAAGTCTAAAACTCTTTGATACCCTAGATCCTGAAAATGTTCATTTTCCCCCAAAAAGTTTTATAGTTTTACTTTTTACATTTAAGTGTTGATCCATTTTCAGTTAATTTTAGGTTAAGAAATTTAAATTGAGATTTATTTTTGCCTATGGATGCTCAGTTGCCCCAGTGCCATCTGTTGAAAATTCTCTTTACTGAATTGCTTTCACAATTTTGCCAAAATTCAGTTGGACATATTTGTGTCAATCTAGTCTAAGTGGTTTATTTTCTTTAGATCTATGTGTCTATCTCTCGGGCACCACATAGTTCTGATTACGGGAGCTGTGTAATAAATTTTGAAATTGTGAAGAGTGATTCCTTTCATTTGATTTTTTTTCTTTCTCAATTTTTTTTTAACTATTCTAATTCCTTTGCCTTCCAATATACAATTTAGACTAACCTCATCTCTAACTACAAAAAATATTGCTGAAATTTTTATCTGAATTACATTAAACCTATATATCAATTTGGGAATTATTGACATCTTTGCTGTGTTGAATCTTCCAATCCATGAACATAGTGTTTCTCCATTTATGTAGCTCTCTGATTTCTTTCATTTTGTAGTTTTCAGCTTACAGGTCCTAAGCAAGTTTTGCTAGATTTACACTTAAGTATTTGATTTTTTTGGAATAATTGTAAATACAGCTGTATTTCTGTCCCCGTGTTCATTATTAATATGGAACAATAATTGGCTTTTGTATGTTTATCTTCTGTCTGTGACCTTGCTGAATTCTTTTTTTTCTTTCTTTCTTTTTTTTTTTTTTTTTTTT